TCCATTGCCTCATACAAATTTGAAGTATATTCATGTCAACATATTCATAAGTAAATATCAGTTATTACAAGAAAAGTATCAGTTATTACAGGAGTCGCAATAGATTTATCCGTCGCTATACATATACACTATACAGTATGGTACATGCTGCGTCGTATTGCCTGACTGATGTATACAGTCAACGAAGGAGTGGTTCGCCTATCGAACTAAGTTGACATGCATCTGTTTTTTTTAACCAATCAAATTTTTTTGTGATTTGAAGGCATGTGATTTGGTAGCTATAATATTTTCCCGCCGGCGCGATTCCTTTAAAAATTCTCGCCACAATCATTGACAAATTGATGACAGTGAACTCAACCCTTCGCGGCCCAAAGCGCGTCTACCAAGTGGCCATCAGGCTTGAGGCCATTGCACTGCTGGAGACTATGTCGGACTACAAGGTGTCGGCTCAACTGGGAATTCCTCGACGAACCATACGCTCCTGGGCCGACCAGCGAAACTATATCCTGGCGTACACCAGGAACAAAAAACGAATGAAACTCAGCCCTGGTGGCCGCTCCGAGTCCTTTCCTGACCCAACAGGACTCGTCGAGTTCATAGCCGAGATGCGTGCTCGTGAACGTGCATTGACCACAACTCATATTATCAACTGGATTAAACGCTTCCAACCTGACTGGCTGCGACTATACCTTGCCGATAAGGAGTCCGGCATGTCATACTAAAGCCTCCTTCGTCTGCTCCAACTCTTCTGCAATCGTCATGGGTAAACTCGGCAACGCGCTGGCCACACCAAGAAGTCCCGTGCTGCACTGACCGAGGTTCGCGACGAGTTTGCAGAGGAGTTTCACCGCGCCTTCGATTCCGACGCTGTCTACAACGTGGATGAGACGGGTTTTCACTATGACATGCCACCGAGGTACATTTGGTCAATCAGGGGTGGCGATGCCAAAGTGTCGTCGGGTGAAAAGCATTCACTTCGCATGACTATGGCGCTTACCGTTCGATGCCTCTGCTATTCGTCGTTCGGGGCCAACCCGGCGGTCAGATCGCAACCAACGAACTGCCAACGTATCCCGCTGGCCATGTCTACGCAGTACAACCCAAGGCATGGATGGACAATGACGTGTGGCGACAGTACCTTCGTGACTTGCTACTGCCCTGCAATGAAGCGCCGTCGGTCATCTTGGTGGACAACTTTGAGTCGCATGTATCCGACGAGTCCTATGACATTGTTCAAGACGAGCTGAGCAGTCTCCTCGTACCGATGCCTCCGAATGCGACATCTGTGTGTCAGCCGCTGGATGTCGGTGTGATGGCGCCGTTCAAGAGGCTTCTACGGGACGAGTGGTTGGCTGAGGAGATCATCGACGGCGACGAGTTTGACTCACCCTGTGTTGCGCAGAAAGGTCTCGCAATGATCAAACGGGCAATTTCGACGTGGGAGAAGGTCAGCGAAGACGTCATTCGCCAGAGCTTTGCCAATGCGATTCCTCGCACTTGAGCACACTGCGTAGCCACTCCTTGCTTTATATTAATTGTGGAATTAATATATAATTGGTTGGTTTGTATTTGAATTTTGTATGCAATTTATCTAATTTTAAATAAACGGGAAAAAGTTTGACACTGAGCGGGGCTTGAACCCCGGCCCCCTTCCTCAATCGACTTGGATGCCGTCGCACTAACCATTGCGCCACCGCGTCAAACGCTATCTTTAACATAGGTTCTTCGTATTGCTTGAATTAAATTCCATCGCTTTTCAAGAATCGATGTCCTGTGTAACCGACATTCAATAAAAACGAGAAAAATGGTCTTCATTGGCTAAAACGGTTTTCGTAGTTCGAAGTTTGGCGGCCAATCATTTACCGTTATTGTCCGATTCCTCGAAGAAAACAGTAGGCGAACCACTCCCTTCGTTGACTGTATATTAATACTAACTAGATACGAAACCCTGTATTCACAACTAACACAATGATAACGAGAGGAGCTGATACAGTATACTAGAGGATTAGCCCGTCGTTGTTGCTCGCATCAACGATGACCAAATCCATTTCTGCTAGTTGCTCGCATCAACGATGACCAAATCCATTTCTGCTAGTAAGGCAAGACAAGCATTCAAGAGCCCTGAACCATGCTAGCAGTTGAGCTAGCAATTTGACGTAACCCTGTAATATTCCTTTGTACTTGTATGCGTTATGTGTGTGCAATATGACTTTGCGTGAAAGTTAAGAAGTAAAACGTACAGCTGTGCTGTCGTGCTCAACGACAAGTTATTCGTGTAAATGCTAGCAATTGGGTCAGAGTGGCGGTGAATCCACACCTAAAAGTACAGGTTTCAGGCACTATGTGCGACTTGCTCATAGTGCATGTAAATCGCTACAGCTGTATCGATTGCAACCCCTACATAGTTTATAGCCCCCCACGGCCTCCTGTCCCCTCCACAACGATTGTGCTTGTAGCTTATCTACATGTGAAAGCACACAACCACCATTCTACGAGGTTAAAGTCACCATTCACGACATCATGACTAGCTTATAGTGTATGAAGATCGCCAGGATAGCAGCGAGTGCAACCACTACACCTCCACAGCCCTTAAGTATCCCCCCAGCCCAATGCTCTGAACATCGTGATCGCTTTAACATACGAAGTACGGTACATGTCATGGAAATATAGTGGTTGAACCGCATTCGAAATATAGTAAAAATATTGTCTCATTTCAAAGTGGATATCGGGTTTCACAAGTAATTATCGCTCATGGATCCTTTTTCTTAAATATTTATACCACAACACATCATATTGTGAGATATATGTGATTCTGGAGTTCAATGAACATGTATGTTAAATTGCATGTAAAAATCGAGGAAATTCACCTAGCCAGTGTAGCGAAAGTTCCGATACCCTTGGGGACTGTTACAGTGTAATCGGAAGACTTTCAATGTCCAGTCGACATCATACAGTATCCAAGACCGACTTACTGGCTCCGTCTAGTCGGGACAGTACCATACCCCATGCTATGACATGTTTGTCATACTTCAACGAGGCTTATGCCGTCGTTAGAAAGCGTCCAACTAGCACAACGCTCCGAATCGAAGAAAGGTCGGGGAGTCGCCTTTTACCGCCATGGTACATATGCTAGTCAAAATCCAGCCAATCATCGACGTTTGTGGCCAAGGAAATTGTACTAACGTTACTCGGAGTACTCCAGTAGAGTACCACCAGCTCGCCGAACCTCTTCCTGCTGCAGACTGTCAGTTTTCAAATCAACTTGCACTATGCTCGTCATGTCAACCGTGCCATCTTGCGTTGCCCAAGATGCGGAGACGAGGTTCATGGAAGGAATCAAGTGGCAATCTGAAGACGACACCGCCGTGCGCCGCTCCATTCTACTTCGCATGTACGTTCGACGTCGTCATGTCACCGCAAATCTCATGCTCCATCGTCTATCTAGATTGATCGTACTCAAGCAAAAGTGCGGCAAAGTTGACGCACGCATCTCCAACGTTGCCCGACGTGCCGAACTCGCGCTGTATACCCGGGCGCATTCCAGGAACGAATATAGCAACCCCCGGTCGTTGTGCAAACGGTTGCATGCCCTCATTGTCAAGCTGTATGCACATCAGAACTACGTGGCCACCAAGTTGCTGAAACAAAGGCCGACCATGAACGATGACGCGCCGTCGTTTGAACCATGTGCCAAGCGCCGGTGCGCCATCTCGATGACCAACTCGGATATGCTCCTTTTCGATGGCCACGAAGGCGTGCTTCGCGTCGTCACGTCGTTCCTCGACACATCGTCCCTCATCGCGCTGTCGTCTACGACCTACCGCGCCCGGCACTTCATCCCTCAATGCGTCACTGCCCTTCGATTGTCCGCGTCGAAACTCCCCTCTACCCCCGTGGGGACGTGGCTACGGCAGTTTCCCAACGTCGAATCGTTGACCTTAATTGGTGACAACAGGTTCGGGTATGGAGAAATCGCCATGGAGCACATCGACATGCGGTCAAATGCGTCGGTGGAATGGCTGCTCGAGGCCATGCAAGCCGCGATGCCGCTGCCCCGACTGCGTTCGTTGTCCTTTCAGCATGTGTATTGCGACGGCCTGGACGACCCGTTCACGTCGCGGGTGGCAGCCCTCGTGCCAACTTTGCCATCTCTCCAGCACTTGAACCTCGTTGGCAACTGTATCACAGACGTCGGCGCCGTGCATTTAGCCAACACCAACTCGTCGTTGGTCACGCTAAACGTCAACAACAACTTCATTGGGGAACGTGGTGTCTTCGCCCTGCAAAGTATACACAAACGCTGCCGCGTTACTATGACCGACAACCTCGTACACATGGCTTGAGTATAAGTGTGCGGATGTGGAACAATTAATTTATAGAGCCAATGTTGTTTTGCGTCCAATATGATTGACTGTGAAGTTATTGTGTTTATTAGGGGGAGTCAATATAGAAACCAAACTGCTTTTCGTTTTGAAAACTGCTTTTCGCGTTTTGCTTTTCGTCACGAAAAGCAAAAGCACCTCGCGAGCAGCTTTTCAAAAACGAAAAGTGAAAAGCAGAATGTAAGCCAATCAGCGTGAAGATAGTGATAGCCAATCAAGATGCACATAATTACTGGTCGGTTGCAAAGTCCAAAACACAGTTCCTTTTGCACGTGACACCATCCCAGCCGACGAACCAGTGCCGTTGTGACCAAGTCGATGCAATGCACATGCAAGCTGGACCCACACAGGTCTCTGAGCTCGGTTACTGGTCGGTTGAAAGACATTGTTCCCCTCAATCAACTCAACCATATATGCAAATGTAGTCTGACAAACACGGACCTCCTGAACAAAGTCGCCAACAGCCATGAAGGGCAGAATCGAAAGTTGCTCTAAGGAGCGTGGAATCGACCCACGTGCAAACATGTATCGCGAAGATAGAATAGTGTATCGCAGTCGAAGTAGCACATCAATGTCTTTCTTAGCCGCATGTGAAGCAGAAGTATTGCATGTTGCAATTGTCCGTACCATGCTGTCCAAGTCGGCAAGGACGGCCGCGCGCTCTGAGAGCTGTGGCATTTTTGCCAATGCAAATATACGGATACGGATGGCACATGCACAAGAGATCGTTGGCCTATATTGACTCTCCTCAGCTTTTCGTTTTGAGCAATTAAAATACGGTTGAATAAAAAATTCCTTTTCAAAGTGAACGAAAAGCAAAAGTAAAACCAGAAATCCTATATTGACTCCCCCTATTCTAACAAATGTATACTGATGCGACATGGAGAACGAATCGACGACACAACCAAATAACCAAATAAATGTAAGAAGAAGGATTTAGCCAATCCGATTGCAGGAAACCATCGTCAAACGTCAAATTAATGTGTGTGACTTCAACTAGTGTGATTACTAATCACCACAAGACACCTTTTTACATTCAGCTAAAGTTCAGTACAAAGAATTGATCGAAGATTTGCCGATTCAGCATAAAAATCCAAAGTTTGGGTAAAAGGACAATATGTGCTGTGCACGTGTTTAATTGGGGCTGCGAAAAGCGCTTCCAGATAAGAAAAGTGCTTCAATGTAATGAGTGCCAAGGGAAACCCCATCTTCCATTATTGTAGTTTCGGTACGAATTTCGGGACCATGCCCAATACCACTAACGTTACTTAGTACTGGTAACGTTATTACTGTATCTCGCACTGAACCTCGCTGCGATATTTGATGATTGGATATTACGAAATTTCTTGTAGCTGATTGGCTAAAATATTCTTTCTATTTTCCATGTCCTTCCTGTAGATAATTTGGTAGCCAATCAAATGGCCTCCATAATTTGCGTGTTTTAGCCAATCAAAAAGCTATTTTGTCACATATTTCAACCAATCATGCGCAAGCCCTGCGCACCAGTCATAGACGGTGTTGTCACTTTATCCGGAAAATCCGGATGCCACTATAATTGGCTTGTGATCTTCAACAAGCGCGACGACACGGCACTGACATGAGCTCGACCGTTTTCGTGCGCAACTTGGCGTATGGCACCACGCAGCAGCAGCTGGAAGAGCTCTTCGGAGACATCGGTCCCGTGAAGAAGGTGTCGGTGATCAAGGATAAGGGTCGCGCCAAGACGGACATGGCTACCCGTGGCTTTGCCTTTGTCAAATTGTACATCCCAATCCCCGTCGTGATTGATCTGTCATGCCCAACTGTGATGTACTGTGTTTACCTAGTGCGATGGAATCGGATGCCAAGTTGGCCATGGAAAAGCTCAACAATTCAGATTACGGCGGCCGCAAGTTGTGCCTTGGTGAGTGCGAGTCGTCCACGCAGTATAGTAGCGTAGTCTTGGGTCTGACCCAGTGTGTGTCTAGATCTGGCCAAGGAAAAGAAAGGCCCCAAGCCGTTAGCCCATCAAAAGCACCCTGTTGCCGACGAACAGGCGGCGGCTCATGTCGCCACCGACGCAACCCCTGCCTCAGTCGCCCCAGTTGAGGACGACGAACCATCGAAGAAACACAAGAAAGCGAAAACGCCCAAGTCCCACACCACCGAGGATGTAGCCGACGACGTTGACGACGATGCGACAACTTCAAAGAAAGAAAAACGAAAGGCCAAGAAACTACTCAAACACGAGGCTGCTGCCGACAACCAAGTGGCCGAGTCTGCGGCTACGATTCACGAAGAAGTCTTGGAACAAGTGGCTGACAAACCGGCCAATAAGGACAAATCGAAGAAGAACAAGAAGAAAAAAAGAAACGACAACGACGACGAGGAATCCCCCAAAGTTGAAAGCGTCGCGGTCCCCACCAAGAAGCGCAAGCTGGACGACCAAGGTGTTCAGGACGACTCTGCCAAAAAATCAAAGGCAAATGCCGTGGCAGAGGAGGAGGAGCATGTACAGAGCGAGCGCAACGCCCGTCGCCGAGAGCACCGCGAACTCCATCGCAAGATGAAGGAACGCCAGGAAGCCAGTGCCACGACCGAGGAAAAGTCGATTGCGATTTACGGTCTCGGCTCGTCCATCACTGAAAAAGCGCTCAAAATCAAGTACGTTTGTGTGTTTGATGATATGTATATTGTCGATTTGATATAAATTTGGGGAGGGGGTGCAATCGAATAATCGCGCCAACCAAACCGATCCACAATCCATCTGATTGGTTGTTGAATTTCATTGAGAAGGTTTTGATTGGTTAATAATTTTGAGCTCATCTGAAGTAGCCAATCAAATCGATTTAAATTCCAACGAGAAACCACGCCACAACACGAAATTTCACTCGAAAGCTCAATATATTGTGTTTCTTTTACCCAAAATTTGGACTTTTGTGCGAATTCTCCAAATCTATCGATCGTTTGTGTTAGTACTGTGACTTTTGCATGTCAAGATCGCGACCAGTGTCACATTAATTTTTGAGTCACGAATTCGATGTTGAAGTGGTCAAAAAATAGTGTGGATTTGATTGGCTACTTGGTTCTTGATCTCGGTTTTGATTGGTCGATTTTCGATTGTGTGTGCCGATTTGGTTAGTCTGCTCCTTCGATTGAGCACACACCCCACTCCAGTGTCGAATCAACTTGACAATACGATAACGTGGATACAAGTATACATGCTAACATGGCCAATTAGAATGAAGAAAGTTGGGGACGCGACCAAGATCGAATGGAAAGAAGACATTGTGAACGGGGTCACGCAGCAAGTGGCGATCGTCGAGTGGGCCAACGTATCCACCAAAGCCAAAGCATTGGAAAAACTCGACAACCACGTGTTCAAAGGGTTTACGATGGTCGTACGCGGGTAAGCTTATCACTCGACGGGGTTTCGGGGTTCTGGAGGTTCGGGGTTCATATGTTGTTGTAGGCTGGAGGGAACGACGACGGGGTTGGCACAAAAGGAAGGCGTGCGACTGATTGTGCGCAATTTGCAATTCGACGTGAAAGACTCGGACTTGGAAAAGCTGTTTGGCAAGCATGGACCGTTGGCTGAAGTTCGTGTTGTGCGGATGCCTGTGGACACAACCAAGGAAGTTGCCAGCGATGATTCCAAAGGTATGGTTATATATATATATATATATATATATATATATATATATATATATCCGACTTTATTTGATGAATATATAGTTTGAAATAATCCCCAATTTGTGTATTCACTTGTATGGGATCGTCTTGTATGGAGTAGTGGTGTTGGGTCGCAGCCGTGGGTTTGGGTTTGTACAGTTCAAGAACAAAGCGGATGCCCAGAATTCGATCGAGGTAAGTGTTTGATGTTGGACGATATATATATATATATTATATTTTGACACACAATTGCTGTTGATCTATATAGGCCCTGAACAACACGAAATTGAAAGGGCGTGAAATCGTCGTCGATTACGCCGTGGCAAAGTCCGAATACATCAAAGCCCAAGCTGCGCAAGCCGAGCCTGTTGCCGTAGAAGACGAAGGTGACAATGACGAAGGTGACGAAGACGGTGACAATGATCTTGTGGGCGAAGACGCGCCCGAGCTCGCCGACAACGAAAACACGCTGGAAATGGGCGACGAAAACGACGAAGACATTGACGCACTGCTGGATGCCAAGGAGGAGGCGGACAACGCCCCGACGACCCCCAAGGTCGATACGGATAGCCAGCGTGACCGCACCGTGTTTATCCGGAATCTGTCCTTCCAGACGTCGGAACAAGGATTGGCGGACGCGTTTACGTCGGAATTTGGGCCCGTCGAGTACGCCCGCGTCGTTATGGATCGTGGCTCTGGGTTGTCCAAAGGTATGTATGTACAACTGCTAGTTGGTGAAAGGGCGATTTTTGCATAGCCCATCGATGGTCCTGATATTTGTTTTAAATGAATTTTATGATTTTTGGTATGCAAGATGATATATGTCTCCACAATGGATGATCATGGGTTGTAATATAGGTGTGGCATTTGTCCGATTTCGGTCGAAAGACGACGCGGACGCGGCCATCGCCCGCGGGTCCGTGGGCACTCCCACTGACGACAAGAACCACAAGAAAAAACGCGACACGTACGTTTGTTAATTATTCATATCTCTTTTTTCTCGCGTATATTTGAAAATATATACGATATATATATCGTTATTATATATATATATAAACTAGTTATATTATATATTATACATACCTACGATATTTTATATATTTATTTATTTATATATAAAGTGTTAGTATTATATATAGAATATTTTAGAACTATTTTATATAATATATAAAATTTTAGAACTATTTTATATACTGTATATATATGAACATTCATTTACGACTTGATATCATAGCAATGCAAACGGCGGCCTATTCAACAGCGCCATGCTGGATGGCGATGGCATTTACGTGGATGGCCGTCTGCTGTCGGTGACGCGCGCCGTGGCGAAGGACGACGCGGATCGGTTGACTGAAGAAAACAGTGCCAAGCGCAAAGCCGTGGACAAGCGCAACATGTATTTGGCATACGAAGGCACGATCAACGTCAACAAGGTAGTACTAGCTACTATCGTCACTAGTATTACTAGTACGAAGCCCCTGTAACATTGTTTTGGAGTAGGCGGCGGAAACCGAGCTGGAATTGCCCAAGATGGACATTGAAAAGCGGCGGCGCGCGATCAAGGAAAAGAAGGAAAAGCTCAAGAACCCTCTGTTTTTCATCTCCGCCACACGCTTGTCGGTGCGCAACGTGGCGCTGGGTGTGGACGAGAAGGTGCTCAAGACCGTGTTCCGAGAAGCTGCAATTGCTGGGTTGCAAGACCAAGTGGTTAATATGAAGGAAGTCAAGGCCGAGTACCAGCTCAAGAAGGGTCTCCCAGTCAAGATCGTGCTATGCAAGATCGTGCGCGACACGGAAAACCTCAAGGCGGGCGAAGAGCCTCGCTCTCGAGGGTACGTACATACATAGTCCATGAAGAACCCCCCGTTGTTAATGTTTCTTTGGTCGTCCGTAGGTATGGGTTTGTCGAGTTTAGCCAACATGTGCATGCGTTGGCGGCACTGCGTAAGCTCAACAACAACCCTGCCTACACCGAGTACTCTGGTCGCGGGGTCAAGCCGACGAAAGGCACGTCGGACGCCGACAAGACGCGTCTAATTATTGAATTTGCCTTGGAAAACCACGGCAAATTGAAGCTCCGCGAGGTCTACCACTTTTCATTTAATCCAACATGGATAAATGAATCTTATTCATTTGTGTCGTAGAAACGCATGAACGACGCCAAGAAACGACGCGACGAAGACCTGATGCTCCGCAAAGCCCAGGGCGAAGTGATTGAAAAGGTCGAGCGCAAGAGCCGAGGCAAGCGCCAGCGCGAAGCCAAGGCCAGCCGTGGCAACAACGAACCTGTGGCGAGGTAAATGATCTTTCATTTATTTCAAAGTTCCCACCTCATGAAACTTGGTGGGATATTATTGCAGCGACGAACCAGCGTCCAAGAAATCCAAGAAGGACCCCACCAAGGTCAAGGGACCGGCGACAACTCCACGCAAGATCAGACCCAACCAACCCAACGACAAGAAGAAACCGGCGGCGGCAAAGAAGGGCGCGCCGGCCGCGGCCTCGCGCAAGGAACGCAAGGGCGACCGTTCCAACAAGGAAGAAAAATCGTTTGAAGATATGGTGGACAGCTACAAGAAGAAGCTGTTTTCCACCGTGGAAGACAGCGAGTCCCGTGGCCGGTGGTTCGAATAGACGACCTGAGACAGATAGACGAGAGTGTCGACACGACGACTTGGGTGTGTGTGCATTTATCTTTAACCCGCTCGGATTTAATAGACATTTCACGTAAACAAATGTACACTGTGAACGTTGCTTGATCGTGAGATCCATACACAAGAATCAACATTTTACTATATGAATAGTAAGATATTATGTGGGCGATGGGAGAACACTACTAGTAGTACTAGGTAGTACTAACGTACGTTAACGTTATACTAGTATGACGGTAACGTGCATGTGCAGAAAGAAATGTGCGGTGGTGGGTGTACAGTACTGTACAGTACTTCAAGTAGTACGTAGTACAGTACTAGTACTTGAAGTATCTATCAAGGTTCAATACAGTGTATGAAGACGCAATTCATAACGTTGTGCTGTGCTCGTGCCTCCGTATACTAGTACGCTTATTGTTACAGTAGCTCCGGGTGGGAACAATTCCGTCGCTGCAATAGTAGTACTATTGTTACATAATCACTTTTACCAAGAGCCGCCCCTGTAACCCCGGAACCCCTGGATCCCTTGCGCTTACATTCAATGCTATTCCCTACCTGAAATGAGTTGTTTTGAAGTTACACTTGATTTGACTATGATCCAGAAATAACTTGGGTTTCGTATGCCAAAATGATTACGTAACAACAGTATTACTGTTGCAGTGAGGGAGTTGCTGCTCCGAGTGGCTACGTTTTTAGCCGCTGTTTCTTTGGGGGGACAGTATCATAACATTTAAAGCTCTGGACGAGCATTATGGCTTGGCGTTATATTGTGGACCAAAACATGTTTGGAATCTCTAGATGTTGTCGTTGGCTATTTGCTTAGTAAATTACTACGTAGTACTACTAATTAGTACAGGGTTCGTTGAAGCATGGGACGAAATGGAAGGATGAGATTAACACTACCAGTGACTTTGCATTCGTTCGATGGCGAAACGTGTTGCTTTTTTTGTGGAGGAGTAGGATGGGGCAAAGAAGTCAGCAGCCATCGCTGGAGTTCTTTCTCCGTTTGACTATGTACCGGTACATTTTAAGCTATACTAGAACACCGTATTCGCTTTGAAAATTCGAAGCTCATTGCAACTTCAGATAGCGCGAATGAACCTCGCCAACTAGTACAGTGCACTACGTAGTAAACTAGTAAACTCACTCTCTCGGGGACATACGGTCCTATCTTTCAGTGGAACTTCAACGTCAAGATGGAAAAAGAAAGTGTCCGTGAGTCTTTGGATTTTGCTCCAACAACACATTCGCTTGAACAACTTATTTACTTCCACACGTCACTGGGCAAATCATCGACATTATATTACAGGCCAGACTTCATGAGCGCAATAATAGCGACGTTCTCATGAAAGTACAGGTGCCACTTGTCCACGAGGCGATGGGTGACGCTCGACCAGAATCACATGCAGCTGGGCATTCATATGGCGATTTTGCCACATGCACCAACAGATGCCATTATGTTGGCAATTATGCACCTTTTATACCGTATTCGCCTGACGTTCTTGGGATGCTTAGTTTATTAAATACCCGAACACCGGGTATTTACCGGGTGCTTTCACGAATGGGGGAGGAATACAGTATAACTATATGCTCCGAAGTATGTTGTGCCAGGTACTCGTACTCGGGAGGACTATACTCCAGAGTACTAGTATACGTATAGTATTGGACAGACTAGGGAGGGCTACAGTACTTTCGTGTGAAATCGCTGAAGTGTGATGGTATCGTCCAACTTTCGCTGGGGGGGCAAGTGGTTCCAGCAGGTTCACTTTCGCACTTTCCGACAGTGGCCAATAGGCGTTATGTTCCAAATCAAGCAGCGTCTAGTCGTCATCACATCGTCGACTTTCAACGTCACAAGGCCTTCCCGCCATTCATTCCAAGTGACAACCATGAAACGACGTAGCCTGTCTATTCTGGGCCGCAGAGTGACTACCGAGTTGACCCCACTCGATGTGCCACCGTCATGATTAAGATAGATGCTACAAGTAATAGTAGAGTAGTGTACTTGGAGTATTTGGTTGATGTCTATTAAAATGACTAGAAGGGCACAACATTGTCGAGCTGGATACGATATACCGGGTATAAAATCATTTACCCGACTCGATTTCGGTGCGACTCTCAGGAACTGAATTTGCATACTCATATATAGTACTCTTTAATAGTATCAGTACAAGGCATGATATACTCGATTAACGTATGACTACCAGCCTGTAGATGCTTTGACCTTCGGGTATTTACATCTGACATGGAATACCCACTATGTGTGGCGTGGGTTTATCAGGGCTGGCATGCTAATGCCGAAGTTGAGCTCCAAGTTTATATCAAATGAGTTAGGACATTAGGCGGCTGGTCGTGCCACGTGGGTCACCTGCTGGTACAAGGAGGAAAGTTCAACAAATTTTTCACCACGAATGCGGAACCAAGATTCAAGGGAGACTTGAAGGTATTGAGACAGGGACTTGAACGCATTGTACTATCACGTTTGGATGGTGCTCAAAAGGTGGCACCTGTAGCCTATCAAGCTGCGGGCAACCATCGAGGATTGTCTAGCTCATGGTACAGGTATACATCCATTTATACTGTACGAGTTGGGAAGTGTGCACTTTCTCCCCGTTTTGGAACGAAGGTTAGCCACGCGATTGGCAACCAAGAAATCGCGACTTACTTGCGGTTTGTATGGCGTGGGTTGATCGTTTCAATATGTTCGGTAACCATCTGGGCCGACAGATGATCGAGTGCAAACAAGTTGAACCTGGTTACTGATATTCAAACATTGGCACGAAGTTGTTCATTTCAGAATTTGCTTGCACAGATCCACAACAACCACATAACTACCTCGTCATGGGCAAGCCGTTCTTGACCGTGGAAGACTTGAAGATGTCATTCTCGCTCTTCTGCTGCGTGTATGGCATCGGGACCCTCGGCATGCCGGGCAACTACGCCCGCGCCGGCTACTTCTGGGCCACGCTCGCGTTGGTGTTTATGGCTGCAGTCAACACGTACGCCACCGTGTGCTTGTCCAAGGTCATGCTTGAAGCCCCCAAGAACGTCCGCACCATGGGCGACTTGGGCGAGTTCGTCCTCGGCTGCACCGGTCGCTGGCTCATGACCATCACGCAAATCATGACGTGCATCCTCGTGCCGATTGCGTTCCTTGTGTTGGGCGGCATCATGTGTACCATCATGTTCCCCGACTCGTACCACACGACCACATGGATCATCATCATGGGGCTGTCGTTACTTCCCGTGACGTTGATCCCGACGTTGAAGGAAGGTGCTGGCGCGGCGGCCGCCGGAGCGTTCGGCACTATCGTCGCCGACGCCATCGCCCTCTACCTCTTGGTGGACAACATGCACGACCTCAACACTGCGGGTGTGGCCACCCCCAAGCCCGACCCTGGCTTCAAGCAGGTCGCCACGACCTTTGGCAACTTGGCCTTGGCCTACGGCGCCGGCATTGTCATCCCTGCCCTTCAACGCGACCACTCGGATCCTACCCGCATGCCCCGCATCATCTACGTGACACTTGGCGTGATCTCCGTGTGCTTTATGATCGTCGCCATCACCGGTGTGTCGGCCGTCGGGTGCCAAATCCCGGGCAACTTGTTGTTTGCGATCGCCGGCTCCAAGAACGGTTTCTTGGCAAACCGCGGCGGCGTCATCCTCGCTATGCTTGCCATGCAATTGCACGTGACCATCGCGTTCGCGGTGATCATGACCCCTGGCTTTTACATCTTGGAACGGGTGATTTTCGGCCTCCACAAGCACAACTTTACGTTGGAAGCTGAGGTGGAAACCGGCTACGACAAGGCTGAAACCCCTGGTGCTGCTGCCAACAAGGACGCCGAACCCCTCGCGATTGCCGGCGAAGTCGAAGCGCACGACCGCGACGCCGCCACGTACCGCCAACCTGGCGTGTACCCCAAAGTCGCCGCCCTGCGCGTGGTGATCGTGGCCGCCGCCGTCGCCATTGCCTGTGCATGGGAAGAACGTCTCCTGGATTTGCTCGACTTTACCGGGGCTTCGTGCATCGCCGTATCGTGTATGATCCTGCCAATGGTGTTTTACCTCAAGCACTTTGGCAACCGCGTGTCTGTACCCGAACGAGTGTGGGCATACTTTGCCATCTTGGCCACGCTCTTCTTGGCAGTGTACGCGACCGTCTTAGCCGCGGACCCCCTGTTCAACCCCCCCACCGGCCCCGCTCCACAGCCCAAGTGGGACAACGTCAAGTTCAGCTTCTGCCCCGCGGGGTCGTACCAGCACATCACGTTCACCAACGTGTCGTACCACAAGAACTTTACGTCGCCGTTGTATTAAGCAACAGCAGCGCTATTACATACCACCCAAATCTGTCCACGTATGCGAGTAATTGTAGTCGTAAAATATAATGCATCGAGATATTATTCAATGGGAGCCCAGTCATTATTATTGGCAAAACCTATTCACATTGGAAATATCTTTAAAAAAAAGCTGAAATTTACACGCAAAAGTGGTGAAGTAATTGTATTCTTCCACCTTCAATAATAATGAAAGATCACATGTTTTGTCCTGGATACTGTATATCACTTTTTATTTTATTCTACCGACGTTGGCCGTGAAGATGGCACTCGCCCCGTCGTGGCAGGCTGGTGTCAGCACTGCATATCCGACGATGAAGCTGCGTTGGTAAGTAGCCACCGCCTCCAGCCATAGGAATTCGTGTTGCTGAGACATCGTCCAAGATAGCTTAGGTAACCCAAACTTGGGTTAGGCTCACGATGGGACGGAGCTCCACCAACATGTGGATGCCTCTGGCTGGAGGCGGCGGCTCTCGAGCATTCTTCGACATCAAGCGTCCAAGATGGTTGCATGGCTAGGGGTGCAGTGCTGACACTAGCTCGAAAGAAGGCATCTCATCAGCTTCTGACCTGCTTACGTGCAAAGTAGAGGGTCCTTCACAATCAATGCTGCTACCAATCGTTGTTCAAGTCGCAGTGTCAAGCACAGCCGAGGCCTTGCATTGTGGCGCTGATTTCTTTATTGCACCAACCAATTCCGGAACTAAATGGATGGACATCCCCAACAACAAGCCAATTAATGTACAATCAACATGTATTCAAAGTCCTGGCGAGTCAATGAGACTACAAGGACCTCAAAATTTGCAATTTTGAAAGCAAGTCAACGACCGTGTGTAGAGTAAGTAAAATGCATGGTGGGGTGGCTTAGGACATGGCCACATCTCGTGGTTGTTGCGCTGTATCGACAGCCGGATTTTCCTCGTTCGCATCCCCCGACTTCGTTTGGTCAGACGGCGGCAGCGCCTCCCCCGCTTGGTGGGCCTTAGCAAACGGCGTGTCCTTCCACAACGCTTCGAAGGCGTCGACGGCCCCGTCCGAGCAGATCGTGTCGTGGGTGCCAGCGTCGTCCTTGGTGGCTCGGTTCCACGTTGTCACAAGGGTCTTGCCGTCCACCTCTCGCTCGTGCACGGCCTTGAGTCGTCCGTTCGCGTCTTCGTACCGGCGACGGACGCTACGGACCCGACGGCCCTTGTCGTCCACAACGGACGAGCTCGAGTATGAGTAGTTGGAATACACGGGTTTCGAAGCGGAAGTAGCAGCGTGAGAGGGGTCATTGGACGCGGGCTCCGTGGTGGCAGGTGATGTAGCGTCGTTGTTGGCAGGCGCCTTCGCGTGGGGCAGGTCCTTGAAGAAGGCGTCGTCGTCGTCGGCCGAGTGACGGAGGTGCAGGTGGCGGTGGTGGTGGTGGGGGTGGTGCAGGGGCAGCAGGAGGGAGTCGCGTTCAAGGGCGTCCAAGTCCATCAACGACTGCTCCAAGCTGGCCATGGGATGCCAGTATGTGGGGCGGACAAAGTCCCAGAGAGATGTAGGAGGCACGTGGTAGTAGTATCGGAACATGGCAAATTTAACAATGACCAGCAAGCACCAGCCCCTCCATGGTTTAGCTACAAAGAAATGTCGTTGGTTCGATTGAATGTTCAGGAAAAGGTGCAAGCTACTCATGGTTTAATGAAATATATCTTGGGTTTTGTATTGGACAGCTATGTGTTGTGAACTTTGTCAGGCATTAAAGCGGATATGCTAGAGCTTCTCGAAATGTCGATATCAGATTTGAGGATAATTATTTTTAGAGGTTTTAAATGCGTTGAAATCTATTGGACAATTACTTACAGGAAGAAACTTTTGTGGAAACGCACAGAAGTGTTTCCATTTCGAGAATGGGACAATCTTTCGAGAAGACGACTGTTCGACCTTGACTCATTTAATTGGAGGCATTCCTAGTTCATAACTTTAACGCTAGTGAACCGTCCACATTGTCTGAATTGTTTGAAAGTAGTTCGTTTTTTTCCATTACGTTAAAGTCCACGACGCTATAGATAACGCAAAACTATCCAGCGATATAGATATGCTCTTTCGGCTCAAGAGTCGTTTGTCTTCATTTCGAGAAGCTCTAGCATATCCGCTTTAATGCCTGACAAAGTTCACAACACATAGCTGTCCAATACAAAACCCAAGATATATTTCATTAAACCATGAGTAGCTTGCACCTTTTCCTGAACATTCAATCGAACCAACGACATTTCTTTGTAGCTAAACCATGGAGGGGCTGGTGCTTGCTGGTCATTGTTAAATTTGCTATGTTCCGATACTACTACCACGTGCCTCCTACATCTCTCTGGGACTTTGTCCGCCCCACATACTGGCATCCCATGGCCAGCTTGGAGCAGTCGTTGATGGACTTGGACGCCCTTGAACGCGACTCCCTCCTGCTGCCCCTGCACCACCCCCACCACCACCACCGCCACCTGCACCTCCGTCACTCGGCCGACGACGACGACGCCTTCTTCAAGGACCTGCCCCACGCGAAGGCGCCTGCCAACAACGACGCTACATCACCTGCCACCACGGAGCCCGCGTCCAATGACCCCTCTCACGCTGCTACTTCCGCTTCGAAACCCGTGTATTCCAACTACTCGTACTCGAGCTCGTCCGTTGTGGACGACAAGGGCCGTCGGGTCCGTAGCGTCCGTCGCCGGTACGAAGACGCGAACGGACGACTCAAGGCCGTGCACGAGCGAGAGGTGGACGGCAAGACCCTTGTGACAACGTGGAACCGAGCCACCAAGGACGACGCTGGCACCCACGACACGATCTGCTCGGACGGGGCCGTCGACGCCTTCGAAGCGTTGTGGAAGGACACGCCGTTTGCTAAGGCCCACCAAGCGGGGGAGGCGCTGCCGCCGTCTGACCAAACGAAGTCGGGGGATGCGAACGAGGAAAATCCGGCTGTCGATACAGCGCAACAACCACGAGATGTGGCCATGTCCTAAGCCACCCCACCATGCATTTTACTTACTCTACACACGGTCGTTGACTTGCACTCTGAATAGCAATGCGAATGGAGTATTACATAGTCTGCCCTTGCACTTTGAAAACCTCTTTTTACGATCAAAATATATAGTATATGTCTACGTTTGCTTTCGTCTTGCCATCCTTGGAATCGACGACACTTACACTGTCAGTTCATTGTTCAGCTCAACCAGGATACAGTCCTAACGTTATGGCAATTGTTGCGAGCTGTATGTCTATGCAGACGGGTTCGAACATCCAAGTTATAACGTTAGCTTAATACTGTAGCTGACCTGTAGTGAGGGGTTTTGGACCAGCAGCTTAAGCCCTCATCATAACGTTACTCGAAAACCTCCGAATCAAAGTCGGCCCATTCAGATCTCAAATGACTTGAACTAATCACACTGTGTGGCAAATGATTGGATGAGTTTGATTGGACAGTTCCTAAAATTTTAAACCAATCCAATCACTCTATTTCTTGACAGTTACCGGCTTGGACTGCATTTTCATTCACCATGTGGGTGTGTCATCCAGTTCACTTGCACAGCTTCGTTGGGGCCGCGGAGCTTCCTCCGCCGCCGGTGACGACGTCCCTATTCACCAAAGCACGTCAAGCTGTCCATTGCGCCATCTGCAATGACGTCGTGGACACCCGCAAACCCACCTCGCCACCGACTTGTTCGTGCGTCGCTTGCAAGTGCGTTGTCCATCGTCGATGCTTGTCGCGGTGGCATGAGCAAGACACGTCTACGAGACACCGGGAGACACGACTGCTTCTTCCTTTGTGTTCCGTCGCGGACAAGGTCCTTCATACACCTTCGTTGTCGTCGTCGCCTAGCAACCCAACGAGCGACTTGCACCTCCTCGAACACCTTCATCTGGACCCGACCTTGCCTGCCTCGCCCCTGCACCATCCACCTCACACAGTTCCTCCATCGAGCAATCTGGCATACGTGTACGTCCAGCGCTACGCCCCTTACGTCGCCGGTGGCATCCTCCTCGGCGGAGCCGCCATCTTCGGCATGCCTGCAGTCGCCCTCACAGGCCTTGGCGTGGGCATCTCAGGACACACATGGACCCAACGCCGCCAACTGCCGACAACGGCGACGAACTTGGCATCTCATCGCCGTCCTCGTGCTGAGGTACTTGTAATATTTGTTGTTCGTCGTATCCCACAACTCGGTGGTCACCAAAGGATTCGGACTGGGCGCGTCGCATTTGCTGGGACTTGAAGCAGTCCTCCACGGGCACAGATTCGTCGTATAAGCAAGACGCCGCGCTCCTTCGACGGTGCGTTCGTCATGTCGTGATGGTGCTGCCACGTCATACGCTTGAACAACCAGTGTAGGTACCACAACCACAAGATAGACAACCCGACGTCGGACGACATTTACCGACTGCTTTACCATCTCTTTGCCTCACGAGACGAACTCGTTGGACGCATCAACAGCGCGCTCTGCGACGCCTTTCGCACCCGAGCCAACTCGTCTCCGTACTGTCTTCATGTGTGTGTTGTCATGTGATGCCTTTCAAATGGCCAAGTAGGACCCTTCCTGCGTTGGTTCGAGATGCACAAGTCTATGTGGGTCACGTGCTAGCGGTCACGTTGACCACATACCCCGCGCTGTCGAGCTCCGAAGATGCCGTGGTACAAGCCACCGAAGCCGTGGAACGTCTTGTGTACAGGTGTGTATGTGTATATACATGATATATATTCCCCTGGTGATCACGTCATCGCATGACTCATATATGTCACGATGACATACCAGTGACATTTACCCGTTGGTGTTGAACGCGTTTCGACGCGCCTATGCCCGCCACGACGCCACGTTGATCGCCCACGTCCGCGAAGTACATATCATCCAATGCTAACCATAACCCCAACATATAGTCCCTTCTGTTTTGCTATGCATTTCATGATATTTGCTTGATTATATTTATATATATATATATTAACTCTGTGTGGTTGTCAAATCTGTATGTTTGATACTCATACTCCTCGATGTTAGTTATCCTGTATTCAGCCCTACTACTACTACTACTACTACTACCATCCTAATTTATATCGTAGGTGCAAGCTACCCGGCGTGCCAGTTCAACGGTGAACCCCCAGGCCATCGACGTACTCCCCCTTTTTCCCATAGTCGACTGTGTTTTGTTGCCATCATTTCCTTGACCTAGTCCCTTGCCCGGCTCAGCCACGTCACATACCCCTACGGCAAACTGCAAGCGCTAGGCGATACGTTTCGCATGATGTGCTCGGCCGCCGAAGCGGGACTGGCCATCGCCCCGAGTGCCGACACGCTTCTGCCCATGACCGTGGACCTGATTGTGGATGGATGTGGGGTGATGTTGGATTTCGTGGCGCAGATGGCGTTCGTGTCGACGTTGACCAAGGGGGGCGGCCGCGGCATGGAAGGCTACGCGCTCACGACTTTCCACGCAGCCCTGCGCGCTCTCGCAGCTATCGACGTCCAAGTTCGTTTGTAAATTCAGTCGTGCGCTGTTGTTGTCTGTGCGAGAATTGTCATGGGATGTGTGATGCCTGTGTAGGACTACGCGACGAGTACTACTAGTAGTACTAGTACTACTACTCCCCCCCAAGGCGAAGAGGAAGAAGCCGACGACGAGTTTTTTGACGCGGTGGAGGACTTGTCACGATAACAAACAAAAGACAGTAGTACAGTCCGGTGTAGTCGAGGTGTTGTTGCAACGTATAGGTACATATGTTGCCAATGAAACCACGGCCGAGTGCTGCGAGATGTTGACAGTACTACTGTAGTACCTTGAATCATACTGATATGTTATTTCATAGTCATCTCGGGCTTGCTTAGGCTTCAAAAATGGGAATAACGCTAGGATATTGTCGATATTCTTCAAATTTCCCAATTCGCCATGGTTTGTCCAAACTTATGCCGAGGATTCTGATTGGCTAATATCCGAAAGGAAAATACTTGTCGCTGATTGGCAATATTATTTTTGGGAAAGCCAATGAAATTTCGCGGCGAGGTTTGTGAGAGGTTTTACGAATCGCGCAGAATTGGGCAATTTGTAGCAAATTCATCTAACGGTTAATACATCATTTAAGCTTTTATTATTTTCAATTTTCATATTAGAATTTTTCCAGATATACCTAAAATAATTTTTTTAGATTTTAAAAATACAATGTTCAAAATAAAAGTAGTAACCTATATAGCACTACTGGTGATTTGACCTATATATATGTCATAAACTGGGTTTCTAGTTAGATTACTCATGGGATCTCGAATGAATTTTTTCAATATGGAATTGGCTCAACCAGGTAATCAAAGATTTATACACAGGCTTTTACTTCGAAGTATGTGGAAACATCATACCGTACCAGTACTAGTATGATTGCTGAGTAAAATAAATAAATAATAATAACATAGAAAAATTTGTGTGAGGATTTACTCCTATATTATTACAAATTCTATTTATTTAAATATATTTATTGATTGTGTCTTTTAAATAAAACTAGATTGATTCTGTTTCTAATTTTTTGACCATAATAGTATACAGATTTACGAAACAAACACGAAACTAAATACACCAGACTACTATTAATAGTACTATCTAGCAATCACATAACGTTTTTGTTTCGTAAATCCCTTCTTGCTATCTTGAAATTTGTATGCGATTGTTTGTATCTTACTAGGTGATCCAGGAGTGTACTAGTTATTACTGTAATAGTACAGTATATGTTGTTAGGGCCACTCAGGCTGCCTCAGAAAACACCTCTTTTCACAACTTTTCAGAAACATTATGACAATTTTTCGAGCGACAACTTTTTGTGTGTTTGACATATATAAAGTGGTATATTAATAATACTGTACTGTACGCGAATTTTTAATGTTTTCTGACAGAAAAAGTTTCAACTGCAACAGTCCAATATTTACCTAACGTTACGTGTTATTCCAGCAATCATTCTCATTATCCAGTGCACATCAACGTGCCCCGCCAGGGGCAACCACGGCAGACCCGTGGAATCTCCTTACGTTGGCCACGTCCTCGCCGACCGAAGCGGTGGCGCGCCAGAGTGATCTGGTGCTGCGTAAGCCTCACGCGAGGAAATGTGCGTGAACGCCGATCGGCACTCCTTCCAGGACAGTCGGTCGTCCTCGACACTGGCCGAACCTCCCAGACTGAGCAACTAGCCTATGTCGGCCCCAATGCTGTGCACCCCAGGGGACTCCTCGCACTGTATCTCCCACTCCGTACATACAATACGATAATGTCAACATGATGCACATTCCAGACGAAATTTTTGCTTTCGCTCCCGTTTGGTTAGGATACCGGTACGTACTACAGTAGAATTGAGACCAAGCTGAGCTTGAGACTTCACGACATCGCTCCATGGTGCGACGGTGGAGAGACCATGTACAGGCTGCCAACAACCCGGTACACCCAGCTGCAATCATAGACACGTTTCGCACACCGTATTGGCGTACCAAATGTGCAGCACTAATATTAGATGGCCCGACTCCTCGAGACAACACCTAATTAGCGTGCGCCGGCATGCATTACGTACTGCATTCACACTACGAAGGTTACGTACTATTTTTGTTCTGTAAAACTCTATACAACTTCACACTACATATATATTTTATATAAAATTCTCAAATATACACTCATACATGAAGTATACAAATATATAAATACAATTAAGTGCATTTATACTACCAGGAATATTAGTAGTCAACATGGCAACCAAGCTATCAAGGCTAACCATAATGGCGAACAACCATGGAGCAAAGGAGACATCTTTGACCCCAATTGCCATCAGGGTCACTTGAAATTTTGATGGATGAACACGTGGTGTTGCATGGCACGAGCGCGCCATGAGTAGTAAAGTGCAAGTATTGGACGCATTGACAAACCTGACTGCTGGACGTTCCAACTCATGACATTATGCGCGCTAACCCCCGACGTTTTACGTTTGAAGCGTTCGAACATAACGCGCGTTTTATGGCTTGCGCGACCAGCCCTCATGAGCATCTTTCTCATTTCCCACCGCATTAACTTGTCTGAATGCATAGATAATTGATTTAAAGAGACCAAACACTCAACGTAACGTGAATGTGTACAGATAACGACGTTGGGACTGGCGCACAGTGGTACCAGGAATATTTTTATAAATGTGAGAATGAACAAATGCAATCAATAGGCGCTAATTTTAGCCAATACCTGACCTTCGTCCTCATTCACCGTGATTGGGTACTTTGAATTTGTTAAATTGAATTTGATTGGCTTATTCGAATTTTGAGTCTCACGTGTCATATCCGAGTTTGCGATGCCGTCGCCGAAGCCCATTGCCAAGCGTCGACAACGCCGATACGTTGTGCGACAGATT